ACAGTGGGGTCCTTGAGGGAGAGAGGGGAGTACATCGGGGAGCAGTGTGATGTTGAAATTAAGTCCCTGAGAAAACGTTAACAGAATTGTAACTCACAAAATCTCAATCAATAAAATTTAAAAAATATATATTTTTTAAATCATCCCAGCACTGGAGCTCTTGGTGGGTGTGGTGAGTTTTATAGAGAGGTGTGGTATTAGGCCCCCGAGCTTTTATAATTGGGTTTTAAATTTTATTTTAAGTTTAATTATTGTCGTTGAGATTAGGTGTTTGCACTAATGCTGACAGTTATGGTTTCGTGCCTATAGTTACCACACCCCATTCCCAGTGTGTCCATGAACTCCCAGTGCCCGCATGTTATCTCCAGCCCACCTTCCCCATCCCTCTCCCTCTGTTCTCAGATCAGTAGCCCCTTACTCAGGTTCATTATCAATTGATAGTGTCTGTACTCTTGATTTGTCACTCTCCCTAGATATCACAGATCAGTGAGATCACCCAGTGAGTGATCTTCCCTCTGAGTTATTTTGCTCACCACAGTACCTTCCAGTTCCATCTGAATTGTACAGGCAGCATAGTTTCTTTTTTCTCTTTTGCTTGAGGCTGCACTTGAATTTACATCTTATTTCTTTTTGAAGGGAGAGGGTTGGGCCATGCTCAGCGATGCTCAGAGGTTACTCCTGGTTCTGTACTAGGAATTACTCTTGGTGGTGTTCAGAGGACCATATGTAATGGGGGACATCCAACCCAGGTCAGCTGTGTGCAAGGCAAGTGCCCTAACCACTATACTATGTCTCTGGCCCCAGTATCTATACCTTTTTAATTTTATTTTTGGCAGTGCTGAGATCAAACCCAGGGCCTCACAAACCCAGGGGCCAGGGATGTGTGAGGAGTAACCCCGGGCCTTACACAACCCTGGCCCCTGAGTTTCAGTAATATTGTAAACTTGTAATAGCACTGCACTGTGGCACTGTCCTCCCGTTGTTCATCAATTTGCTCGAGCGGGCACCAATAACACCTCCACTGTGAGACTTGTTGTTACTGTTTTTGACATATCGAATACGCCTCGGGGAGCTTGCCAGGTTCTGCTGTGTGGGGCGGGATACTCTCAGTAACTTTCCAGGCTCTCCGAGAGGGACGGAGGAATAGAACCCGGGTCAGCCACGAGCAAGGCAAACACCCTACCCGCTGTGCTATCGCTCTAGCCCAAACTTGTAATAAATCAATTTTAATAAAGGAAGAAACATCATCCTTCGGCACATTTTCCAACCAGGCTTGCACTGGGCTTTATTAGTGGACTTTGTAACCCTCCACTTCCTTTCTCCCCAGTCTCTTTCTCACCTCTGCAGACCCCCCCTGTCACCTGCCATTGGAGTAGAATCACACACTTAAAGGAACCAATGCTGGCAGCCAAGAGTCTGAGTGTGGCTTGAAGCTGACAGCTTCATAGTTTACCTTAGGAGTTCTCTGTTCCTCTCAGCTTATTTAATGCGTTACCTAATTGTTTCATAATATTCTTAGGACACTCGACACTGAAAAGGCCTTTTAAGTTCTCAGAAAAAGGATCTTTAAATTCAGCACCTCCTTGGCGCGCAGAAGTGGTACATTAATTTCCCCCATGTGTGTGAAGAAGGAAACGTCTTCAGGAAACTTAATGAGTGTGCCCGTCTCTGGTGGTCTCTCAGGAAGTGGTCTGCCACCCCCGCCTCATACCCCTCCTCCTGCAGACTCCATAGTTTCCCTCTGGTTTCCTCTTGCTGCCATTTCCTCAGAGTCTTTCTCTAAGCTGACCTAGGTTGGATGCCCCCTGTAACATATGGTCCCCTGAGCACCACCAAGAGTGATTCCTAGTGCAGAACCTGGAGTAACCCCTGATCATCGCTGAGCATGGCCCAACTCTCTCCCTTCAAAGCACTCAATTCTCTTTCCCCAGTCCCTCCTCCCGCCCTGCCCCTTCCTGGGGTCTTTCCTTTTGTTATGAAATAAGTCCATTGGCAGTGACCAGATGGGGCATTCTGATGACCCATAGAGGCTCTAAGAGGGCAATATCAAACTTGGTTTCACGAGATTCCTGTTCCAGAAGCAAGTTCTCAGGGATGTGGCTTCCTGTTCTGGGAAGTCTTGCTGTCACCTCTCCCCTCTTGAGGCACTGTCATGCAGAAGCATCTCCATGCTCCTGAGAAGTCCTGTAGCCCAGAGGGCTGTGGGGGTCTGTATGACCCAGACACTGAGCACTAGAAAAAGGCTTCAAAGCCTACCTAAGAGACATCAGTTTAGGAGGAGTCCCCATCTCTGAGGGTTGCTTCTGGAAGCTTCCAAATCCATCACTAGAGGCTCTCCTGGCTCCAGGAAGGAGACCATGGATCCTCTGCTGGTTCCACTCAGAAGAAAAGCCAACTTAGATTGTTCTCCAAGGACCTTCACAAAGGTTTTTTTCCCCCATATATACTGAGCATTGTCAGCTACTTGTGCTATCTTTGGAAGCAAACAGAAATGAATCAGGAGGGACCCATTTATGGTCTTAATATTGCATTCTTGGGGTCTGGTCAAAAGCAGACATCACCAAGCGATTCTTAAAGAAAAGAATGGCATGGGGGTTTTCTGTATTTGGGAAGCAAGTGCTTCCTTTTCAAGTTGATTCTCACATCTTGGATTCTTCCTCCAAGTGCACCCCCCCTCCACCATTTGTACCAATGATGCGTTTTCTGAGAAGAAGGTATATTCCCTTAGCTTAATGAACTCGGGTCTTAGTTTAGTCTAAGTTATTTTGGTTTTCACTCACAGTTAATTGCAGCTTTTGAATTGATTTCTTGGTTGTCTTGCCCTAGTTTTCACATAGCCCTACTCTGTAAAATTCCCATTAGTCATTTCACAAATGAGCCATGGGCTTTGTTTGTTCGTGTGGGGCAGGGAATTAGAAAAAGATACAGTGCTGTGAAAAAGGGGATATAGATTAAATTAGTTTTCTAGGGTCACCCTAGCCCCAAACCACAAATCCACAGAAGGATATTGTCTCAAAGGCTTGGAGGTTCAAAGTCCAAGCTGGAGGTGTGAGCACCTTGGTTTCTTTCGGGCTCCTAGGGGAGCTGGGCCAGGCCTTCCTTGAACCTAACTCCTGGTAGTTTTCTGGTAATCTTTGGTATCAAAGACAGAGTATCCCAATCTCTGCCTTCATCTTCACACAGTGTTTGTCCTATGGATGTGTCTGTCCAAATCTCCCCTTTTTACAAGGACCCTAGTTATGTTGAATTAAGGGCCTACATGCCTCCACTGACCTCATGTAAGCATCACTAATATTGTTCTGACTTCGTTTCTTTGTCCTGTCACACTGTCCCTTAGACAGTGATGCTGGAGTAATAGCACAGTGGTAGGGCGTTTGCCTTGCATGCAGCCAGCCCGGCCCAGCCAGGTTCGATTCCTCCGCCCCTCTCAGAGAGCCTGGCAAGCTACCGAGATTATTCAGTATGCCAAACACAGTAACAAGAAGTCTCACAATGGAGACGTTACTGGGCCCGCTCGAACGACAGGAGGACAGTGTTTTTTGTTTGTTTGTTTGTCACACTGTCCCTTAGACAGTGGTACTTGGGGTCTGAAGTCCTGAGGTCAGAACGTCGACGTGGGGTGTTGGAGGTGGACCTAGTTCAGCCCCTAACAGTTCTGTGTCCTGAGCCACATTCCATGCCACAGCTTTGAGGGAAGCCCCCAGCTGCTGCCTTACTTCTGCAAGTAGCTGAGTGGAAGGAGGTTGATTTAAGGACTCATGGATATGCAAGTAAGATCTTGCAAGCTGCTTCTGCAACAGTCTAGCATGTTCTAGGAGAAGAGTCCAGAATGTCCTCAAGCCTGTCTGGCTGGACTGGCAAAGGCAGGTAGAGAGCTAGAATTGGGTTCATTAAGAGAAGAAAGGAAGAAATTAGAGGGGGAGAAAGAGAGAGAGAGAGAGAGAGAGAGAGAGAGAGAGAGACTGAGAGACACAGAGACACAGAGACAGAGAGACACAGAGAGATTGTCCTGCAGGGTGTGGTTCTGCAGGGACACCGGAGAGAGTAGGGGAATAATGAAATAAACCCAGTTCCTGCCCATGGGTCACTGTAGGAAACAGGCACCCTTGGGGGAGGTGTGGCACCAGCTTGTGGCCAGGACAGCTCTACTTGACTACGGAACATGAGACCTCACAGAGAGGATGACATGCTTGGGAGCATTTCAGGCAGACCAGAGGACAGATGGCTTAATGGAGAGCCCAGTTCCTGCAGGGTTCCTATGAGATCCTGTCACATGAAGAGCCAGAGTCACTCCCCCACTGCAGGTTCAATGTCCTCACCTGTAAAATGAGGCTAGGAGCACAACTAACCTCAGTGGTAATGCTCCGTCATCCATGGTGCTAGTTAGTACTGGGGCCAGGCTTGGGGTTCAGCAGTGGTGCACTTACCTGTGTGAGGGCTGGGATCAATCTGGGACATCATACCCAAAAAAGAATGGAAAAAAATATATATATAGAAACTGCAGGCGACTACGCTTAGTGAGGGTGAACTAAGATGCTGTATGCCTGCAAGCAGCAGGTGCTCAAGAAGCCGCTGAATCTGCCCCACCCCCGCCCACACACACTTTAAGATCAGCTTTGGCAGAGATTCCGGGACTCAGGTGCTCCTGCAGACTATGTGGTGAAGGGTGGAGGGTTGTACAGAAAGGTATTTCAATGACTTGAAGAATGACATTTTTTCAGATACTCTTTAGCCCTGTCTAATGACCTATTTACTCGTAATTGAGGGCCATGCCAGTTACTCTCAATTGCAGTTATTAAACCACATGCCCCTCGGGACTCTTACCTGGCACAGTTTTATTAGAGAATCCATCCAACTTTATATGATAATCCACTCTGTGGTTATTCTCCTGATGGTTCATAAAACATGCCCAGGCTGCTGCCATGTGAGTGGCTGGCATATGTTTGCACTGAGAGAATGTTCAAGGAAGGTGTGTCTAAGAGTCTTCTCTTTCTTGGTAGGTGATAGACCAGCACCGAAATTCAGAAGTCAAAGACAGACAAGCACTTCTGCCATGTCGTACAGACGAGAACTAGAGAAATACCGTGACCTGGATGAAGATGAGATTCTTGGAGCCCTGACAGAGGAAGAGCTCAGGACACTGGAAAATGAGCTAGATGAGCTGGACCCTGATGTGAGTAGGCTCTAGAGGGAAGCGTGTTGTCCCTGGTTCAGAAACAGTACCCCTTCCCACCTGGGAGAGGAACAGGTGCTGACTTCCTGTAATGTTCCCTGTTCCTTAGTACCATAGTATTGCCCTTACTGGGGGGGGTGTGGTGTGATGTGGTGTGGTATGTGTGTGTGTGTGTTGGGGGAGGGGTATTAATCAGGGTTCTCTAAAGCAACAGAGGTCATAGGATATATTTATATAGAAAGAGGGATTTTTATAAGGAATTGTGTCCCATAATGACAGAGACTCAGGAGTCTACAAGAGAGAGACTGGTAGCACTGGTTGTATGGTTTCAGCCTGAGTTCAATGCCTGGGAACCAGCAGAGCCAATGTCAGTCGCTTCATCCCAGGCCTGGCAGTCTCAAGATCCAGGAATTGTCAGTGTTACAGTCTAAGTCCAGAGGCAGGAAAAAAAGATCATCAGTCAGTTCAAGGTAGTCAGATAGGGGGAAATTCCCTCCTACTTATGGGCAGGGCAGCCTTCACACTGTCAGTTGATTGCCACATGAGACAATGAGACAGGGCAATCTACTTTGCTCCATCTACTACTGAATGAAATGCTCATGTCATCTATAAAGACTCTCACAGACATTCCCAGAATCATGTTTAAACAGATGCCTAGCACCCTGTAAAATTGACACATAAAGTTAACCATCCATCACAGCTCCTGGTCAACTTGGCACTGGCACGCATCTCTTTAAGCCACACTGTCTCCATATAAAGACAAGAACAAGTTCAGAATTCTGCCTAACTTGATACAACTTTCCTGTATACAACCTCCTAGAAAGGAAGTAAAGCTCTTGAGTCCTGTTTATATCTCTCCTAGTCATCCCATCACTGAAGTAATATAATGTAAAATTAACAATACTTAAATGCCATGATGAAAAAATCAATATATCGTGTGAAAGGGTAAAAGGAGAGAGAAGAAAAACGAAGGTAATTGCTTAATGTAGACACACTAAACATGGGTGTAAGAAAATAACGAGGAAATGCCCATGACAATTACTCTGCCTCTCTAACCACCACACAGCTGTAATAGACTTCTTCATCTTCACACACTGTGTTGCCTTTAGCAAGCATCTCTGCTGATTGTGGTTCTTTGCTTTGTTGGATGACTCTGACCATTTTTTCGGAGGGCCTGGGCCATCAGAGGCCCTGCTTGGATTGAGTTGTTGTAGTTTTCCATTGACTTAATCTCAGAATTTATACATGCGAAGGATGACCTAGGCATTTATATGCTTCCTTATATCCACTATGGAACAGCCCCACTCCTCTTGGTAATTAGATCACTACAGCCATTAACTCCTCTGTTGATGAAAGGCATGGGGAGTCCACATGTTCATTAGGCATTTTAAGTTCCTGTCCAGTAGAATCATAGTTGTATTTCCTGGTGAAAGAAGAGTGTTCTTCCCTGGGGAACTAAGACCACCAGGCCAACAAAACAGTTTCTACTGGAACACAGAAGCAGGAAGCATACATTTTGACAGTGTGTCACTGAGGATAATGGTGAGTAGTATCCCTCCCATTCCCATCCTTGATTCCTAGACCCATGAATTCCATCTCGAACTCAGACCCTGATTCAGGGTGTATAGATCCTCCTTCTTATGGTCTAACCCAATCCTGCGGTATGTTGTCACCTAGCTGGGATTATACCTGAGTGTACATAACCCCACTCCATCATTCTCTTGAGCCAGCTGCTTCAGGGCGCTGAAGAACATGTGTCATGGGTTCAATGTACTGAGAAAAAAGGGGACTGGAAGAACCTTCCACTTACTTGAATACTTTTCAGAGTTGACACATTTAAGAAGTGTGTTTAAGGCCCAGAAGTTGCCTGTTCAGTTGCCCCTTCAGAAAAGGCATGTCATGTCTGTGGTTTGGCCTGTCCCTGTGCTACCCCAAGGAGGAAGGGCTTACCTTATGCCCCAGGAGACAGGAACCATCATCCTGTTTCCCCATCATAGGCACCTAGGTCAGTGCCTATCTAAAGAAGACAGATACGGATGACAAATGTTATTGAATTAGTGCTTTGCCATTTGATATAAGTTGTCATTAAAAATGGAATGTTTCATACCTTTTTTAAGATGGTATTGCTCAACTCTTCTGCAACAGTAATTCATGAAGAAAACATTTCCATGCCATTTTATTAACCCTCAAGTAATTACAGCTAGCAAAAAAAAAAATGTGTAGGACTTGGGGTCAGATGGCCCACTTCTGATCTAGCCCCATCTTTTATACTCTTGGGCCAATTGTTGTGCTCAACATCCCCAGGCATGAAAAACAGAGTTGTTTGGACCCTTTCAAGGCCAAGCGTTCATGATCTCACAGCTTGATCTGTTTACAGAGTGGAGGAAATTACTTCATCCTAGATAACTCAGAATCCTAGGCCTCACATAATGAGAAGTCTCTCCAACCAAATTTCCTCATCTTGCTATTCCCTCTATTCCCTACTTCTCTGTGAGGATTTAGGCCACTCACATGGGTTAGAGATGGAGTGTGTGTATGTGGGGGCCTGTCAGGGAATGCACTGGTTCCTGTCTCTCTCCATGCTTACTCTTAGCCTGGGTATCAGTAATAACAAGTGATAGAGGCAAAACATAATTAAGCTTCTGACTTTTTTGCTGTACAAGTATATTGTTCTAGCCTAGATTATTGGCACATAGAATTACAAGGGCTAACCGTTTTTAAAAGGGAGAATAGTGGGGGATTTGACTACTTCTAGTCAACTCATTAACGCAGTTACCCACCAGGGGCCAACACAAGGTTGGCCTCCAGCAGGGGCCCCTGTCGAGGGGATTCTGCACTTCCTGTGCTGTGTTGGGGGAGCAGGCATCAAACACCAGGTCTTAAACAGGAGCAGACAGGGAGCTCAGAGAGGGGATTAATTCTTCCTGTTGGGAGGCTCCACAGAGCAGGGGATATTGGAAGTGGGCCCTGAATTTTTTCTAAGTCATGAATAAAAACAAAGAATTCTCTATGTCAGCAGCAGTGTCTCTCATGCGGAAGGTAACAAGGGATGGGGAATCCGAGTGGTGTCGTGAAGGGTTGGGTGAGTCTGAAATAGGGCTTGGACTAGATCATGAGGAGGGGGGTGGGGTCTGAGGAAGGAATTCGCATGCCCAACTGAAGAGTTTAGAATGTTCTCCATAAGCCCACGTGAGCTTATATAGAGGCTTGCAGATTTCAAGAGCTGACCCCAAAGACAAATGAACTAACCGAATCCGTTTCTGGGGAAATGGGTGAGCGGTGGAAGAGATTCACGTGGGAGCCCCCAGCCTCCTGTCTCACTGGTGGTTGGAGAGTTTTATTGTTTTCTGAAGATAAGCAGCCCCAGCATCTATATGAGCCTTTAGCCATATCGCAAGATATTTGCTCTTCTCAGGGAAGCAAAGGGCAGACTCCAGAGGTACCCCCCAGCCCCACACATTCATTCATACTTTCACACACACTCACACATTCACACACTCAAACACATTCACATACTCTCTCACGCATTCACACACACAGTCACGTGCACACACTCACAGTCAGACACACACTCACACTCACATACATCTAAGTGTTGCTGCCTTTGACCTTTGGAGCTGTCGGTGTTGCCGCAAGCTGCTGGGTATGGATGGGTTTAGATCAGGCTGTGGCAGCAAACTGAGACAGCGATGACTCGGGTGAGAGCCAAGTGTCCAGTGCGGGAGAGGCGAGGGGGCAGATGGAGGAGCTGGGCCCGGCTGGGAGTGCTATGTCGCTTCCAGAGAGGCCCTGAGCTCCTCTAAGCCCCTCCAACACCAGGGAATTGGCCCCTCCAGCAGCATCCCAGGACCTCTAGACCCTGCACTGAGCCACCCCCTAACCCAGGCCTTCTCCCAGGACGATACTGAGAGGTCGTCTTGTCCCCACTGGAGGGTAGGGAGCTAGGAGCAGACAGCTGAGTCGTTTAGGGTGTCCTTGGATTTCAGTCAGGATCCAGGTGCTTTCAAAGAAGGTAAATTGTGCATTTGGAATATGGGAATAGGGCCGAGCAATCTGAAACCTGCGATTCTCCTAACACTGTGCTTTCATGATGCTTTCAAAGACCCCTTTCCGTCCAAGGAAAACCAAAGAGAAATTCGAGAGGAGACTGATAAGGGAGGTCTGAGTCTTTTGTCCCAGCGGCACAATTGGCCCCTTCACCCAGAGAGATCTCTGTTACCTGATTTGCAAGTCGGTGTGTGAGTCTGGAAGCGATCCGGAGAGCCACCCTTTCTTCTGAGAGCACAAACATTTCATCTTGAGTTTCAGCCACTTTTGGCCCCAGATCTGAAATCACAGCGCAGGGAGAGGCCAAAGGTATGTAGACCTCCGGCGCCACGCAACGCCCAGAGGACCAGCAGGCATCCAACCCCCAAGTTACAGAGCAAGAGCGGAGCCGAGAAGAGAAGGACCGGGCAGCCGTCCTTGCCAGAATCAGCGCAGGACCCAGATCCCCGGGTCCTCTCTGCTGTGCTCAGTATTCCTCCCTGTCCCAGGTTCTGTTGAACAGGGGGTGCTTTCTCTATGTGACTCCCCTGAAATATCCAAAGACTGAGCCCACGTCTGCAGCCTCTGATGACAGGCCCTGCTCTTCATCCCCATTTGACAGAGGAGAAAGCTGAGGGGCGAAGTCACATGTCCACAATCCCCCCCCCCCACTAGGCTGGGCCCTGACCTAGTTCTAAGAGTTGCCCCCTGGGCCAGCCCTTGAGTGTCTGTGCTGGTCCTTCTTCTTCCCTTCTTGGCAAAGTGCTCCTGTGTGCGAGTCTGGGTCCAGATGGGATGCGGTCTTCTGTCTGAAACTCAGCTTCCCTCCCTGCATAGTGTCTGCTTGGGGGGGGGGGGGGGCTCTCATATCCGCCTCCAGCTCTTCCCACTGTGATTTGTTTTTGGGTTTTATTCTTGGACCACACCCAGTTACTCGTTCCCCAGGTTCCTTACTCCTGGTTCTGTGCTTAGGG